CTTCAGCAGAGATGTTCGGAGCTCAAGGAGCTGATTTCCTGAGAGGGGTTGCATTTTGGCGTATCAAATCATCAGCTATGCCAAGATGCTATTTCGTGACAGGTGCAGCATTTCGTATGACCTGGACTAACTTTTTCGTGGCAGGGGCAGTACTTTAGAGACATGGCATGGAAAAATTGCAAAACGCATTGGTACGAGGCCGTCAGCTGTACAGTCAACTTTCCATTTTTGAAGGAAGTCTCGCAGAATTGCTTCGTTTTTGATCCTCTTCAAATCTCCCACGCCTGCCATCGTTTTTGAAAATGCTACAAAACCCTCACGTTTTAGTCACTTTTCAGTGGATGCACAATCCACTCCACCTACCACACAAAACGACGTCTGAACGCCCAAAATGTCTCCGAGACCCTCAGTTTTTAACACTTTTGACTTCGAAATGTGCTTCGCGCCACGACGCCGTGCACTTTTTCGACATCTCAACTTCCAAAAGTGCTGCGAGACCACCAGTTTTTAACACTTTTTACTTCCAATTCGCGCCACAACGCCGCACACTTTTTTGACATCTCAACGTCCAAAAGTGCTCCGAGACCGACAGTTTTTAACACTTTTTACGTCCAAATGTGCTTCGCGCCACAACGGCGTGCACTTCTTCGACATCTCAACTTCCAAAAGTGGTCCGAACCCCCTCAGTTTTTAACACATTTTACTTCCAAATGTGCTTCGCGCCACAACGCCATGCACTTTTTCAACATCTCAACTTCCAAAAGTGGTCCGGCGCTGAGGTGTTTTGTACCTTTTCACTTCGAAATCGGCTTCGCGCCACAACGGCGTGCAACTTTTCATCTCTCATCTCCCCAGATGTCTCCGCACCCGCCGCTTTAGCCAGCCTACTTTTCGACCCTCCGGAGCCACAAAACCACGAAAAAACACAATGTTTCGCGACTTTCCTACCTTTTCGCGCACCGGCATCTTCTTTCTTCTGATCTTTTCTCTTCTGACTCTTCTCCCTGCTGACTGCTTTTTCATCTCTCCATATTGTCGGAAGTTTGACTTCTAAACTTCCTTCGATCATGATTCCAATTCTGACCTTTTGGGCAAATATTATACACCAACTCTATGCTGTTGCAGTGGCCCACGCAACCCGCACACAATTTTGGGGCCCTGCCCAGAGTCACATATCTCACGTTCCGAGGCATTTCATTCTTCGAGGTTCGCCAATTTGCTGTCCATCGTAGCACTTTACGCACTGGCCACCTGGCAAAATGCTGTGCGGGGGGGAGACTCGACCTGGGGAAAGGCGTGAAATCACATCACTGCATCACACATCACATCACTAGTGGCAGCCAGTTTTGGGAAGTGCCCGTCCAAAACCCAGATCCAACTAGTGATACCAGTCATAGAAGAAATTCATCACTTCACAGCATTGTTTCACTGCATTGTTTCACCGCAAGCCTTCATAACCTTCCTCAAATCTATTCTTCTGGAAGTTGGTGCAAATGCTACAACAAAATTTACAGTCTTAGTAGCAGAAAACCATGTCTGATACTTATGATTTATAATGAGATAAAAATACTTAACCGTACTTATCTATCATCTGTAATCTATTTGTATATACATATTTTTGGCTCGAAGCATGTGCTGCTGCGGCCATTATATACATATATATATATTATACAGAACCATGATTATCTATAATCTGTGTGATTGTTATTTCAGATTGGCGCTCATCCACATTGAGGCTAGAAATCGGTGCCTCGGCACGCACAGAAGACCAGGTGTCGTACCTCGCATCCTGACAGTGGTTGGTGTTGGGAACATTGGACACACAATGAATTTGAGCAGCAAGGTCAAGCTTTGTGGTGCTTGTCATGTTCAGAAATACCATGGGGAAAACATGAAGATATACGGAAAATAAGATTTATATATATATATACATACATACATACATACAAAGATGCAATACTATAGAAGGGCTGCCGCCCCTGCCGCCGACCCCGGAAGAATGGTCATGTGGTCATGTAAGCAAACTCAATGTTCATAAAGATTCTTCGGTGCTTCGCACTTTCAGGCTTTCGTCTTTTACATATGTAGATTTGTATGAAATATATTTGATATGTTTGAATTAAATATATGTGATGTTTTGTACTGCTTCTGCTTTGTTTCATCAGGCCCTATGGCCATTTTCAATAGCTATGTGACAAATTACTAGAGGGTAACATTTAAAATCCATAGTTCTGAGACTCCCCAGGTCTGGAGATTTTCGTGGGTCCAACATGGTCCCATAATTTTATCTGCGTGCATTTATTGTTTACTTTGGATGCACCACTTGGTTGGCTTCATTGACCCAAGTTACCCCTGTTGGTTGATGGGTATATGTTGACGCAAATGCAGCGGACCATGGGAAACACCGAGAACAGAAAATCGGCGCTGCCGGACGGGGAAACACCATGGCCCTGAAGGACGATATAGTCCGAGAATCCCACCAAAAAAAGTCTCTAACGTTGCTTCTGAAACCCTAGAAACAGAACAGAAAATCAGCGCTGCCGGACGGGGAAACACCATGGCCCTGAAGGACGAGCTAGTCCGAGAATCCCGCCAAAAAACTCTTTAACGTTGCTTCTGACACCCTAGAAGCAGAACAGAAAATCGGCGCTGCCGGATGGGGAAACACCAAGCGCTGATTTTCTGTTCTGTTTCTAGGGTTTCAGAAGCAACGTTAGAGACTTTTTTGGTGGGATTCTCGGACTAGTTCGTCCTTCAGGGCCATGGTGTTTCCCCATCCGGCAGCGCTGATTTTCTGTTCTGTTTCTAGGGTTTCAGAAGCAACGTTAGAGACTTTTTTGGTGGGATTCTCGGACTAGTTCGTCCTTCAGGGCCATGGTGTTTCCCCATCCGGCAGCGCCGATTTTCTGTTCTGTTTCTAGGGTTTCAGAAGCAACGTTAGAGACTTTTTTGGTGGGATTCTCGCTATAGTTCGTCCTTCAGGGCCATGGTGTTTCCCCATCCGGCAGCGCCGATTTTCTGTTCTGTTTCTAGGGTTTCAGAAGCAACGTTAGAGACTTTTTTGGTGTGATTCTCGGACTAGTTCGTCCTTCAGGGCCATAGTGTTTCCCCGTCCGGCAGCGCCAATTTTCTGTTCTGTTTCTAGGGTGTCAGAAGCAACGTTAAAGAGTTTTTTGGTGGGATTCTCGGACTAGTTCGTCCTTCAGGGCCATGGTGTTTCCCCGTCCGGCAGCGCCGATTTTCTGGTCTGTTTCTAGGGTGTCAGAAGCAACGTTTGAAACTTTTTTGGGATTCTCGGACTATAGTTCGTCCTTCAGGGCCATGGTGTTTCCCCGTCCGGTAGCGCCGATTTTCTGTTCTGTTTCTAGGGTTTCAGAAGCAACGTTAGAGACTTTTTTGGTGGGATTCTCGCTATAGTTCGTCCTTCAGGGCCATGGTGTTTCCCCATCCGGCAGCGCTGATTTTCTGTTCTGTTTCTAGGGTTTCAGAAAATCGGCGCTGCCGGACGGGGAAACACCATGGCCCTGAAGGACGAACTATAGTCCGAGAATCCCGCCAAAAAAGTCTCTAACGTTGCTTCTGAAACCCTATAGAAACAGAACAGAAAATCGGCGCTGCCAGACGGGGAAACACCATGGCCCTGAAGGACGAACTAGTCCGAGAATCCCACCAAAAAAGTCTCTAACGTTGCTTCTGAAACCCTAGAAACAGAACAGAAAATCAGCGCTGCCGGATGGGGAAACACCATGGCCCTGAAGGACGAACTAGTCCGAGAATCCCACCAAAAAAGTCTCTAACGTTGCTTCTGAAACCCTAGAAACAGAACAGAAAATCGGCGCTACCGGACGGGGAAACACCATGGCCCTGAAGGACGAACTATAGTCCGAGAATCCCAAAAAAGTTTCAAACGTTGCTTCTGACACCCTAGAAACAGACCAGAAAATCGGCGCTGCCGGACGGGGAAACACCATGGCCCTGAAGGACGAACTATAGTCCGAGAATCCCACCAAAAAAGTCTCTAACGTTACTTCTGAAACCCTAGAAACAGAACAGAAAATCGGCGCTGCCGGACGGTGCTGCTGGTCCTCGGGTGGGAACACACCACGGAAAAAATCACCTCCCGGCAGCAAAACACCATGCCTCTGAAGGACGGAGAAGCACCAAAATTGCACCCCGAAAAGCTTAACGTAACTTCTGAAACCGATAGAAAATGATGCTTTTGGCTCCTTTTTCCTCTTGCTGCTGCTATGAAGAAAATGATGATTTTGGTGGCTTTTTCCTCTTGCTGCTGCTATGAATTTTAGCTACTTTGTCCTCCTGCTGCTGCAGAAGCTTTTGCTGCTACTGCTGCGGATGAGAAAACACCATTGCGCAGCCGGGGTGAAGATTTCTGAGCAAAACCGCAGCCCCTCGGACAGGGAAACACCATGGCAGTGAAGGACGGAGAAGGCGCAAAAAAGGCGGCGAAAAACTGCCTAACGTAACTTCTGAAACCCATAGAAAGGGATGATTTTAGCAACTGCTGCTGGCTGCTCGGCGTCCTGTTCCTGCTGCTGATGCTGCTGCTGCTCTTGCTGTTCCTGCTGCTGTATTGCAGCTGCATCTGCTGCTGCTGCTTCTGGTGATGGTGATGCTGGTGCTGGCGTCTGCTGATGCTGCTGCTGCTGGTCCTGCCGTGCCATGAACCAGCCTCCAAGGCAAGAAACCAACAGCAAGACATCTTTTTCGAAACCCACTCGAAACAGCAAAACACCACCTAATTTCGTGCCAAAAATGACGCGAAATCATTCGCAATAACAAGCTACCCGGAGGCCGGCTTTACTTCTCCTGCTGTTGCTGCTGCTGCGCCCGCTGCGGTAGTAGTGCGAAACAAGAGTCAAAAGTATTATTCCCTGGCGCGCTCCCCCTTGCGTTGCCGGGGTCGGCGGATATGTATACGTGTATCTGTATATAAATATGTATTTATATATATATATTACGTATATACTTCTAATGTTCGG